TGATTGATTGATTGATTGATTGATTGATTGATAGTCACAGGTTTTACTGTAATAAACTGTATGTGGAATGAAAATTTGAGTTTTTACTATTTTATTGTACCTACATTTAATATGATCAGAAAGCCTGATATCAAGGGAAGGTTTCCATGGCATCTCCCAGAAAGGATGCTTCATTTGTAAAGTACAGGAATCAGATGTAAAGAGAGGTAGCAGCGGTGTAATGTTTGTCAACCAGCGTCCCACTGCCCTGCACAATACAGACAGGAAAAACACAAATTGAAATTACTACTCACTACAAGCACTTCACAATTGTCACACAAGAAACATGTCAATATTCAGGGTACTTCTTGGGTTCCCAATAGCATAGGATAGCCCACCAGGAAGGGTGGGGGGGTTCCTGCCATATGAAAAGGTTGGGGATGCTTGTCTTCTCAGGGGTGTAAATTAAGCATTTTGGTGTAACTTAGGGTGTACAGGATGAACCAAGTGAACACTATATTTAGATGTCAAAGTATCTCTTAGGGTACACTCACTTTAGGTGGTATATTTTAGAGGTCAAATAAAGCTCTAGCCACACCCAGATCGGTCTCCTTTGAGGATGTAATTCAAATTTTCTAAAGAGCACCCCCATTTGCATTGGAAAAGACTCCCTGCTTATGCAGGGAGCCTCAGTTGCAAGCTAGTTCCAGCCCAGTACCAAGAATATGGAAATGGCCTATTCACCTCCTATATGGTGTTATCCATCTGCCCAACTCCTCCCCACAGAGTGGACTTTGTTTGTTGCAACAGACAGTCAAGTGGACAATATGATCCCAGTGGGGACAGGAATAGTCACTTTTACCGGGGCAGTGTAAGGACATGTCCAGCTCTACATTCCTGTACAGCTGCAACTCTGCAAAAAAAGAAAGAAAAGGCTTAATTAAGTTAATATCTTCACCACTTCTTACATGGGATAGTAGCGGAGCTCTTGTGCACCAAAGGCGTGTGAGCAGAGCCTCGTATCTTAGAAAATTTGGTAACCCATCGATCTAAAAAATTTGGGTTGTCATGTGACTGTCCGTATATGTCTATACGTCCCTCTGTACAGGCCAATCCCTATACCTAAGAGAGAAATACCATAAGTACATCTCTGATATTGGACATCCATTTATGGTCAATTGACAGCTGTCAAAACAAGGTATCTGCTGACCAGTATCAGGTGACTGCTGACTGGGTACTGGGTTTCAACTAGATCACAGGCTCAAGTCAGGTTATTACTCTGAGGGAGTAATGCAGAGACAAAATTTCAGCGCAAATTAACCTCTGGCACATTGTTGACTTTTCTTCCAACATATTCCTTGCACAATCGTCTCTTGGAAAGTCTCTTACATATTGTGTACATAATTTCTACAATCTTGGTTATGCTTATTGGGTATAGTTTGTTAAAATTTAAGTGGAAAAAATAGTGAAACTACATGTTGAACAATTACATGCTCGCAATTGATAAAACAAACCCTCTTTTTCCTTTGTGGATAATTATTGCAATCAGGAGTTCCGCTTAAGGTCTGGCTAAATCTATATATTATATGTCCTCACAAAAATGCTACCACAGTGTACATTGCCTCTTGGTTCAGTTGATAAAGCAAAACAGGAGTCATCAGTATGATCAATCCTGATGATGCTCCACTGTCTACAGCTGGCCAAGTGGCCCATAACACCACAAGCTAAGCTAAGTTAAGCTACTAGGAGTAATGTTACATCCATCTAGATAGTCCTTACAGGATTACTCCTTCCCCACAAGCATTAAATTCCAAAGTACCCATTTATACAAATTGGTTGAGACAGGCGAGTAAAGACTGTTGTCCAGGAACACAGCACAGTGACCCTAGCCAGAGCTCAAACCCAGATTAGGGGGTCCAGTGCACTAACCATTTGGCCATCACACCTCTTGAGTCATTTGTATGATTTAATTCAAATAAATCACATCACTTGTCTTGACTCAAGTTTCCATCCCAGCTTTCAGAGAGCCATGTACTGACCTTCAAGTGGTGGAAGGCGAACAGTTTTCACTGCACCAGTCTCTCCTTTCATCAGAGTGTGGTTAAACACATGAATTATTCTTGCACTGCCAGTCAAGTTGTGTATTAGATCTGTTTTGTAGTTAAACCTAAGAACACAAAACATGAATTTAAATGCACAATGTGGACAAGATAGTGGAGGTGTAGTGATTGCCAGGCCTGTCAGAAGACGTTCTTAATAATAATGAAGTATATCATTTGTCTCATGAAGTAGTCTCTTGAGATGTAGATTGCTACATTCTGAGCGTTGACTGTTATTCTTCATCAAGTAATGACGTCAACTGAATACACATTACCATCTGTGATTGGTGCATTTTATTTGCATTTCACAACAAAGAGGACGTTCTTATAAATATGATGGTGGACCCTTGGCAATGGGACAACAAATGAATGGTCCCTGAATGTTACATTATTGTGTTCTCTTTTAAGCAAGTTTATAAACCAAGCCAAGGGTGAGGTACATGATGGATAGAACAGTTTCGGTAATCCCTCCCAGCCTCCAAAAGGGACATGAACACACCTTCAAGCAGTGGAAGGAAGGCAGTTCTCACTGTACCAATGAAAAAAAAAATGACTACAACCAACATTTCCCACAGTTTACCAATAGGTGCAGTTCTTAGATTTTTTTGTAAGAATGCTAATAAAGTAATGCACCTATTCCTGGCAAACAAATATGCATTTTACATGTGAAAGTAACTTTGCAAAAGTTTAACACAAACTGTCCGGTAGACATAAAGGAAAAAATATTTCCATGGTAACAAAGCAATATATTTAAACTGGGTCATTATTGTATTTTCTTTTTCAGCAAATGTAGAAAATTAGCTCATGAGTAGACAGTCTTTTCAGTCTATTTGCAAACTTTGAAGTACATAGGGAACCAATCAGAATGTTCTGTATCACTAAGGAACAGTTTGCCATTCATATCTCATTTTCCTTTTTAAAGCACCACAGGAAGCAAGTGGATCGGCAGTATAGAAATGCTCTTATTATTATCATAATGAAGTCACATTTTTGTGATGAAATACAAAACTGAAGGAAAACTCACCACTTTGCCTCATAGGCCATGAACTTCATTGAAGGGAATAGAAATAGGCCTACTTCTGCTAGTTTTCCCTGACCATCGATACCAAGAAAATAATTTTCCTGAGGAGTAAACTGGTAGGAAACATACAGCTTCATTCTAGCACTCAACAAGTGTTTGATGTGCATGCCATCTTTGTGTGAAATCACTGATGCTGATATGTGAAGAGGTGTGAAGCAATGATGACTGTCACAAGTCAGTTCCTTGATAGGCTCACCTTCCTCAGAATATATAATAACTGCATAAATTCCTGCCTTGCTCATATGTTTGATCTGTTCAGAGAAAAGTAGAATTTTATAAATACAACTGTACATGGCCAGGTAAATCTTTTGGTAGGGGTGTGCCACCGCAACACTGAAACCCTTACCCTATATTAGACCATGATCAGCTTGATTTTACAGCCCTATTCTGGACAAGGCACCAAAAAGCCCCTACCCTATCCCAGACTAGCTAATTTCCATGTAGAAACTTTATCACAATCATAGTCCAACACATGCTAACTGAACTAATATCTTACAAAGTCACTTACAAGTCTCAATTTCTAGCCTGCAAACAGGCTCCCAGTGAGGGCGGAAAAAAATCCAGCAAGCAAAACGAGCCATTAAGTATGAAAAAAAATTCCGCGAGTAAAGTGAGTAGGAGCAGGAGAGCCTGTACACATTGTTTTTGATTCGCTGTTCCACTCATTGGTGATTACCCTGTTACAAATCAGTCAAGAAGGTAATTATACCTGTCAAAACTGATGCTTTTTCCCTGCACTGATGTATCGGCTTTTGATAACATTCTACTGCACGTGGGTTTTGCGGAACGGGAAAATGCAAAGCGAATGGGAGCGTATTTGCCGTTTCTACAAAAAGTCATTAAATTTGCCTGAAGGAATAAGAGTGCCAGTGGTTTTTGTTTTTAATGGTTTAAAAACAGTGTAAAATGGGGATGACAAGCCTACACAACTCCGGCGATTCATTTTTACATTTGCCGTTGTCTGTTCGGTCTCTTGACTTTTTTTTTTGCTTCACACGTGTTTATGAAGGGCACTTAATGTTGAGTTATACGGAAAAATTTTAAGAAGAGTTGAGCTGTTAGACCGTGCTATGGAAAATTCTGAGAGGTCATAGGTCTGCATGGTTTCTGCTGTTATCTGCATGTTGCTTCGCCAAGTTTGACTCCTTTGTAATTTCCAATGTGTTTATGTATTGTTTAGGCTCATTTCTAATGCAAGGTACATGATGTTTTCAAGTCTCCAAGTATTTGCTTTCGAGGGACAAAATGTGAAATTTACAGTGAACATGTTACTTACTTGCATTCTATATTATGAAGCTGAGCCCAGCTGTTTGATTAGAACTGTTGCAAGTACAGTATGTTCATTCTTATCACGGATATCACATTTGTCCTTGCACGTTTTTCTTCAGCGACGCTGTAGCTTTACTTCAAGAAAGGTATACATTTATCTAGAGACATTCTTATGTTTCTTGCATCTATCTGATTGAGCTTATGTTTCTCAAACTCGATGTATACTAGGTTTATTCCTCCTTTTGGTTGTTCTGGCACCACATGATGAATATGTATCTTGCATGTATCTACACATGACACATGACACATGACACATGACATGACACATGTGCAAGTCTGTTGACTGTTTTGCGTGTTGTATAATATATACCATTGTTTGGCTTAGTTCAGGCAAGACATGATGGTTTCGATCCTCCATGTGGATCTCATCAGTTGCTGGCATTTCTAAAATACTCTGTACATCTGTAGTTGCTAGCGCAACTCGTACACATGTGAGAATGTAAGACATTCTGCGGCTTGGCACAAGCTTCTCTTGGTGTGTACACCCTTGTGATGGATCAAGATTTACAAGCCGTTGTCAAGATCTGCCAAATATTTATCTCAAAGCTGTCAACAGTAATCGATTCAACCAATCAGATCTTGATACCAGGAGCTGGTATCATGGAACGGCACAGCATCAATAGAATGTCTCCAGGCTCCCAAGTGCTCCCCATCATCACCATTCTGCTCTCGACTCTCCCGCTCACCTTAGACCACACTTGGCTAGCTCGCACTAGACCCATAAACCCAACTGGGAGCCTGTCTGCAGGCTACTCAATTTCTATTATAGAACCCTGGGTAAAGAGCCTTGTTGTAGACTAAATTATTTATCCACTGGCCACTTTCTCAGTAAATTATACCTTAACCAAAACTGTCTGATTCCCAGTCTGATCTGCCTGAAAACCATACCCTTTACAGCAGCACATACCCATATAGTATAAGAGTATCCCCACCCCCACCCTCAGGCAGGCCATGCAAACACCTTATTCTGAAATCCAACAGACAAATATGCCAGTACTGGTTATTAGATTGCTGCAGCTTGCATGTTCATCATAATCCAGTTACCTTGGTAAAGAAAGAACAGTCTCCACCAGGAGACACCAGTGCAATGCGTCCTTCACTGGCTTTTCTCTTGTGTGAGTTTTCTGTCTTCTTATCACCATTACTCTGACTGCTTTTTTCCCACTCTGATTTCAATTCACAAGCATTTCCATAGTAAACAATTTGAAAGTGAGTATGTTTGCGAACCAGACCATGTGGTGATGGCAGCCAGTCGTATCTTGCATCCAGTCTCGGAGCTACTAGCATCACTTCACCTGAAAAAGAAAATACCATACGTGTAGGTTATCAAACCTCTGTAATACTGGTGACTTCACTCAAATTTATTATACCTAGCTACTGATGAACTCTGCTCAATGGCCAATCCTGGTTATTGAAAGTGGCTTAATGCCAGGACCATTCAAACAGGATAAAGTTTCTTATCCCTACCTGGATATCACATATCCCTATTGTGACACTCCAGATTTAACAGTATCACCACAGGTTTGCAATGATATAATTAATGTGTTAATTATTTACATTGTAAGACATTTATATTGTTATCTTAATAAAGATCAGGCAGCATGGTTCGGCTTGGCATGGCTCCCAGCAGTGTGTGAGAAACATTACTTTTGTATGACAGCTCTCCATCTGCTTTAGGAGGAGTTATGTCCTGTACATTGTAATGGTGTGTAATGCATACTGTTACCCAGTGTGAATACAGCATTAATTATGAAATGAAAAATTTGAATTTTGCTTTGGTAGTCTATTGCTTCCAAGGTTTTCATATTGTTGTCGTTGTTTTTTTGTACTTTGTTCTACTTAGAGGGCAATGCCTCACATGACATACAAATTAAATAAATGCATTCAAATTTTTACTGAGGCTGAGTCCTCACTATGTTGGAGGAATTTGAAATTGCTTTTTCACTCTGAAAACGCATCAAATGTTTTCTGTCCACAGTCTACGTCGGAGATATTTGGAAACGCAACAATCACCAGTCATTTTGGATTTGTACTCAAATAAAACTCGGGCAGCGAAATATCATGATTACAGCAACCTGATGATTTTCTGTCTACACTAAAACACAAAAGCTGGCATTTTAAAATTCGTCAAAAGCTCCATTTTCATGGTAGATTAGAGTGGACAGTAGGCCTAACTAGAGAAATAAAGCTCTGTTTTTAAATTCATCTGGGGTAGTGTGGGCAGGGCCTGACACAATTGCTCAAGTTTGCCTGTTATTAGCTATGGCCCTGTGTAGTACCTTCTGTTGACTTGACTACGACTTGAGCTAGTGCACAACCTGAACCAAAGCAAGGCCAGTGCATTAATGAATATGGAATCCAGTTCCCAAAATCATACAATGGCAAGCTGACAAAATGAAGCCTGTCCTTCCATAACTCAACCCAACTCTTGCATTTATTTTTAGTTCTTCTTGTACGATGTTTCCTAAGTTGTGACAGTTTATAAAAGGGTTCTCTTTCCAAATACCCAATATGGTTTGAGTTATTGTGATATCCACTGTTTGTGTAGTATTGCAGGCAAGTTCTTTTTAAATTCTGTTGTAGCAGGAAACTTGACTTCCTAAAAAAGCAATGGTTAAAAAGAAATATACTATTATTAATATCTGTAAAGGAGGATAGAGTGGTTTTACTTAACCTGTACATTAGATAGTGGAACACGCCACAACTTCGTATTAGTTCCTACTATACCCCTATACATAGTTAGTAATTCTTTTGTTTTCTAGTCTTTGTTTTTGTATAACACGCACTAATACTAATTAGCAGACAACATTACACACTAACTAGTAGTTTCTGTTTCTGTAGCAAATTTATGATAGTTCACTGTACAAGGCTAAAGAACACTGAGGACTTTCTAAACTGCAAAACTCAGGAATGGATCCACTGAAACGTCAATCTTTAGTAAACCCCAACAGTGAATAAGCATTCAGTAATTTTGATTGATTACACGTACATCATGACATTGTTTTTAAGCTTCAAAATAATACAAATTACAATGCATATATCCATTTCACAAGTCCAGTGCAATATTTGTGTCTAATCCGTAAGATCAGACACAAATATTGTATACATGTATTTGTATCATCCAACATGTTGTTAAGCTTAACAGTCAATTCTCTCAAAGTGCACAGCACTCTGACCACTGTAAGGCAGACATTTGGACCTTAAAACAGGTATGACTGTCTGTCCTGTCTTACTCATCCTGGCTGATTTCACCCATTCCTCTGTAGTCAAACTTTCTTTTACATGGACAGCTTAGTCTAAACTGGACAGCTAGAGTAATCTGGACACCTTAGTCAGAGAGTCCACTGTATAACCATGTAGTTTAAACAAAAAATGGTAAAATTGCAGTCAGGGATGGACAATAGTCATATTCATCTGTCATGCATTTGTCTTATTACATAGCAGTTGTCTGTTACATTAGGCTTGCATACTCACACACAAAATTATAAAGAAGCCATTGTCAGTCAGCCCTTTTAAAACTGATGCAGGCCAAAGTTCTTTGGCAAAGACATCTTACCAGTACTCAGTTGTTTGAAACATTGTCTTTAATATTAGCACAAATCACTGTCAAATACAATTTTAGATGTATATTGCCATATACTAGCTGACAATTTGTTGAATAATAAAACAACAATTATTGTCTTCAGCAGGATAATTAATTACCCAGCTCTCAGGCCCTGCTCAAGCTTCTGCAATATCACCTGATTGGTAAAGGTAAAGAATCCGATCCCACTAATGCACCGGCCAACATGTCGGTCGACACACTACCAACACAATACCGATGCGTTGGCTGATACACTACCGACACATCGGCCATCAGCATTGCAATAGTTAAATAAGGCCCAAATAAGTCACCACCACCACTGATGCAGTGGCCAACATGTCAGCCAACAGTCAGTCGACAGTTGGCTGACTGTCGGTCAACTGTCGGCCACCAACACATTGGTCAACAATGCATGGGATTCAGAGTAATGGTGATAAGATTGGATTCTTTACCGTTACCGCCTGATTATAGCTAACAAGGCTGGTGACCTTGGTGGTTTAAGTACCGGTATCTAGCCATTGTTCTATGCAATTTTCCAAGACTGTTGTGTTACACTCAAGGTTGCACAGTGGCATTTATCTCAGTGCTCCCATTGACAGTCTTGGAAAACAAAACTGTGTTATTGCATAGTGCATGGACACTACCACAGGGAATACAATTATTGCCTAACTAAACAAAATAAATACCATGAACTGTCATCATCACCATCAGAATTTACGAACATTGTCATTGGTCCTCATTGCACAGAGGTGCAAAGGCCGCAAGAAAATTGAGTCTTCTATTTTGATCGTACTCGGTGGACGTAAGGCATTCCATAGCTGTTAGGGTTCAACATTGACACCCCCCCCGCTTCTAAAGAGTACTTAAGCTCTCCCGGGAACCACGATCGAACTGACCTCTTTGTACAACTGTAGCGAAATAGCCAGACACCTAGTCACTCACCTCTTAAAATAATTCTCAATAGCTTCATAAAGACGTTTTCTCAACCATAACACTTCCCCCATGGAATTAGAATCGGACGATGACATAAACACATAGTGTGTGTTCCTCGGTGAAAGCTCAATGAACTCCTGGAGCGAGGTGTCACTGGTCCACAACGCCTCCAAGAAAGCCGAGCGTCTTGTGAACAGATGAAATATGACAGGGTGTCTTGGCGTTTTAGAACTTGTATTACTTTTCTTGTAAACAATCCTGCCATTTAACGTTTGCAGAGCAAACGATGGTGCAAAATCTCCCGGTTGCAGGTTGGGAAGTTGACATTCCGTGACAGCGAAATGAACTACGAAGAAGAACAATAATCTCTTCGCAAAATCAAACCACATATTAATCTGAGTTGTACAGTGATTTCAAAATTTGTTAAGAGAGATGATTTCCTCCAGCAATGGGAGGAATTTTGCATACGATTTAAAGAGGAGCACATTTTTAGAAGCATTATTCCATGTCCAGGGTGACGAAGAAGATCGAGAAGGGGCGTGATATGATACCCCTTGTGTCAATAGTATGTGTTGAGAAACTCGACAACGATCAAACTAGTTGAAACTTGATACAAAAAAAAGTGGAGTCTTAAACTTGCACGTGGTGAAGATTTTTTAATAGAGTCCAAATTTACTGAAATTTGAAATAATCTATCACCTGCCCTTTCAATGCAGGTGGGAAAGCTTTGACGGAGGCGAATGTTATAAAAGATTACGAAATAAATTCTTCTTATGCGATATTGAAGTACAGGTGACACAGGACCCTGGAATATTCCCCGGAAGGCGAATAAGCGGGAACGTGGAGAATTAGGAACTACACGCACGTTGTAAGTTTCTTTTTCTTTTTTCAGCCCGCCTAAAGTTTTAGTTTGTTTCAGGTAAGTTTGACATTTTAAATTTGTTGTATTGCGTGTAGGCCCATTTAGAAGTGGTTTTATACTGTATGAGGGTTCAAATCTAGCGGCCATTAATATTCCCAGCCCTTTGTATATATATATTCATAAACATGCTGTTTAGGCAATCAGTTCATTTATTGCTCTCTTCCGTATTGAATTATTTGCATTTGCAACTTTTACAACCGATATCTCCCCTGAGAGTTTATAGTCCCTGAGGAAAGAACGCTTAACTTGGCAGGAACAATAACCTGCTTAACTGCATTGAAAATAAGTCAAATAACTGACCTAATCAACTTGGATCGCTGATTTTACTGAAAACATAAGAACAGGAACTATTCAAGAACGAGGTTTAAACAACTAGTTTATTTTTTCAGTCTGAAAACGTCATACAGCACACCAGTAAGAAACAGTGTTGTACGAAGTAATTAGCTTCCACTAGTAATATTAAATATGTTTACATCTGTCTTGAAAAAGTCCTGTTTGCAATTAATACACTGCCAGTTAATTAGTTAGCTTACTTAGTCTAGTCTCAAGAAATCAGGGCATGTGTGTGCCGATCTAGGCTTGATTTGACTCCGGCTTTTCTTGTTAATCCTTGCAACTGAGCCTGGAACATTTCTTAAGTTGGTGGCAACAAATAAATAACCCCTAGAACAAAAACAGCCATCTTTGGCAAAAGTGCCCATAAAAGAAATGATGTTTAGGACCATTTAAACTACAAAATAATGATCCTGAATATAAATATTACGGATCAGCTATTATAAAATAACTGAGATACAACACGCACTCTCACTGGTTGATAGTTGTGTTTAGATGAGAGTATGTAAAGATGGTTGTGACATTCACACCCATTTTTGAGAAATGTTTGTAAAAGCAATAGGGTACTTTTTCCCCAGTTACATAGCCTCATGTAAACACTTGGAGAGTTAGGAGAAATCTTGAAAGTTGTGCAAACTCTTGACTGTGTCTCAGATTTACGTTGCTGTCTCGAATTCTCCAAACCCCCTCATGTTTAGATGAAGTTGTGTAAACATGGAAAAAGTACTCTATTGCTTAAAACTGAATTTGAACTTAGTGAATTTAGATATGAAAGTGGTCTGTGATACCTGTGATTATTTTCTAAACTGTCAGTGTGAATCAATGATCCTTTATCTACTGTAGGTGGCTGTCAAAAGACACCAATTAAAGTATTAAATCAATGGGATTTGAGGACAGAAAATTCTTAGAAGCTGCTCAAGAAATTGACAACATAAAGCTGGATGGATATGAGTTCTTTACAGAGTCTGTTAAGGAATCTGTGGAGTGTAAAATCTATAGAAAACATGTAGAGGTCAGTTTACAGCATACCATTAATATTACTGGTATGCTATATATATCTCTTTTCTCCTTCATGTATAATAACAAAATGACTAATCACATGGGAGACAGTAAGTTTTTCCAAGTATCTTGACATTTCCCTTAAACAAAGTGAACAAGAAAACCATCAAAATTCAAGAAACCAATTCATTGTTTTCCATACTGAGCACTAACATGTAATTTTCATTTATGTGCCTGTAGACTTCAGGGTTATACGAGTATAAAATAATGGGATCACTGGAAGATGTTGGTCCTGATGTGTGTAAGCAAGTTTATATGGACTTAGAATACAGAAAGAAATGGGACGAGTATGTTAAGGGTGAGTGTATTAATAAGTAAACCCTCATCATGACTTAATACCTTGAAAAATGGATCATGTTTGCTGTAGGTCATGTCCGTCAACACTATCAACCAATATGTTGACCAACACTCAGTCAACATATTACTTTGGAAGGAGGTTGGTTACATCTTTGACATGCCTTAGTGAAACTGCATGATGCAGCCAGATGCGATGCGATGTCCTCATTTTAAATGAGAATCCGAGGGAGGGCGATCACCTGGGGGCGATCATTTCAAGAATCCAAGGGATGCGGTTCCAGTCAAAAGACCCACATTTCACCTTTGCCCACCATAGAATCTTCAGTAGCTCGGTAGTTAGAGCATCCAACTAGATCATGGAGGATCATGGGTTCAAATACCATTTGGAACTTGGATTTTTTTGTGAGTTTTCAGTTGATGCTATATATTGCTATCATTTAATATTCTTTATGTTACTCACTTTGGAGGGTGGTTGATTACATCTTTGATATGCCTTAGTGTGACTGTGTGATACAGTTAGAAGTTATGTGTCATATGTATCAGTTATTGTTTGGCTGTGTGACCACATGATGTGGTTCCAGTCAAGAGACCCACATTTCACCCTTGCTCGGGGCTGTCATTAAGGGCCATAACCCATAACACCTGTTACCGCTGAGTATGCTTGATTTTCCCTTGATGCTATGGGTGAATTGTTGATAGAATTCAACAGCAAAGTTTGCTATGGGTGTGGAGAACGAGCCTACAGGTGACTCAAAACTTAATGACAGCCCTGCTTGCTTACCAGAGAGTTTCCAGTAGCGCAGTAGTTAGAGCATCCGGCCAGTTCATGGAGGGTCATAGGCTCAAATCCCATCTGGAACGCAGATTTTTTTCCAAGTTTTCAGTTGATGCTATTTCTATCATTTACACTGTAATTAATATTCTTTCTTCTATTTTTCAGAACTTTATGAATGTGATGATGAAGGAGTCCAAAGTATTTATTGGAATGTAAACTATCCTTGGCCTATGTCAAACAGAGATGTATCCTTACTGAAGTCCATGTTGTAATATCCATAGCTTTGTACAGAGAGTGAACATCCAGAGTATTTAATAACATGACTTGTTCACATGAAAATTAGTTCTACCAGCATGGCACGTGACATGTCAGATTTATTAACATGATTGACAGCGGTGGAGACAGCAAAATTTGTGACTCAATCTTGTTCATTGATTTCTCAGTGGGAAACACAAGTTAGCTTTTAACCTGGTGTGCTGCTGGAAGAGATGTTCAAAACTTTCTTTAAGTCCCCTTTACAGACACTTCAAAAAAGCCAAGAAGCGGCCGCCATTTTCTTGACAATGTCACACTGCTATGCTAATCACTATCTATCACAGAATAGATAGTGAGTAGTGTAGCCAATCAGAGAATGGCATTCCAAATTATTCCTGTAAACTTTTTTAAAAACTTGTAAATAATCACATTTTATAAATATTTTACGATGTATATAGGCCTAATTATTTTATTTTAATTATTTTTAATATTGTTACAACTGTTACTATTTCTTTCTTTTTCAAATTTTAATTTTTGAGGGCCATTAGGTTATCAGTTCAAATACTGTCAAATGTTACCCTCGTAAAATAAAGTCTCACTTACTTAATTACTTACTTAATTACTTACTTACTATTCCTGATAGAACGCTAGTGGATTTATACTAATACTTGATATGAAATGAGCATGTTTTTATTTAGTGTATCATTAAGTGTTGCAATTTCATTATTGATAGATCAGACATGCCATGATTTTTTTCTTGTTGAATTTCATGCTCACTACTGGTCATAAAAATGTTCACTTAGCATTTTTCCTTAATGCAACATCACAATGAATGTTCCTCTAAATATAGTACATATACAAAAGAGCTTTGCGTGAACTGGAGGTAAATGGCATTCCGACTGTAGTTGTGTTAGCTGAGAGCAATACAGGCNTTTATAAATTCAAACCGTTGTAACACAACACCTCCATATGCTGCAAGGCGGGAGTCATGTTTCGCGTGGTCAAATTCGGTCGTTATGTAATAGTGCATGCCATATGTCACGTTAGCCTCAACGTTCGCATAAAAAGGAAAAAAAAAAGGATAACATTGAGAACTTGGGCCGCCTGTGTATAGGGTAAATATGTTTTGAATTTACCTTCTATCATCTGGGATTGTTTGAAAGATGGATAAAGTTTATCATATAAGTTATTTATTTACTAATTTACTATAATGAGTGGAAAACTAATTGGTTTTGTTTGCACTTATCTATTCTTCATCCTAATTGAACAATCAGGGTCCAATGTGGTTATTATGTAATTAAGCAAAATTGGCTTTTTATTAAGTCAACTTTTTTTCATTTATTCCTTAAACCAAAACTTTATTTAACAAATAAAGAAGCCTAAGCCATGTATTACACTGTCATAAAACACAATGGGCATTTGAGAATACAAAGGAAATGTAGAAAACACAAGCTGCTGGCAAGTGTTTTCTACATTTCTCGAGCATCCTCAAATGTGTGGAGTGTTTTATCGCAGTGTAATACACAGTTTAGGCTTCTCCATTTGCTTTATGATATAGAGGTAAAGTGGCAAAAAGTGATAAAGCATGTTTATACTCTGATACAACATGGGTTTTTGACCAACCAGAGCACATGCAGGGTCCTATCTATATTGTAAAAAGTATTATAAAGTAATGTACTGGAGATATTTACCGGTATGCATAATTATTGTGCTTTTTTGTATATGCTTCTGCAACGTGTGATCCGAGTTTGGTCAAGCCATGATTCATATTTTGGCAAGGTGCAGTTGAGCCAAAATACCCATGGCAAGACCAAATGAGCTTGATATGCCACTGAAGCATACTAAAAGGTATGCTCAGTACCAAAACATTCAGCCATAAATTCAGGGCCATATCAGATCACTGACATGATATCTTGGGACATCAGGACAGTGCACATGGCTTCTGATTGGCTTATTGCAAACTTTGATACAGTGATACATGTAGCAGATACAGCACTATTGACTGACTGACTGACTGACTGACTGACAGATGGACAGATTGAGGGAGGGACAGAGAGATGGATAGACTAACTGACTGGCTCACTTAATCTCTCTGTGCATGTCTGAACATAAGGCAGTACTATTAACATTAATAGTGGATGGCCAATGTTTTGAGTTATGGTGGCCCTTATGGTTCTTTTCTTACTCAATTGTGATTGTGAGCTTGAGTTTAGAAATGTTCATTTAGTCAGTGAAAACAGGTTAATTAGCTTGCCACTTGCTCTTTCTGAAAAGGCTGAAAACCATCATGTTCCTTTCAACACTCTCACTCCACTCTTTTTTTATTTCAGCATTTATGCATTGTTTTGATAACCCAGGCGGTCTTATACCAACATGGCTCATCAATTGGGCTACAAAGGTTTGTACTGATGAAATAATGCTGCAAATTTTATTTTTGACTGCTGTTGTTGTGCTTGTTGTGCTTAAGAAACTGGAGATGAGCGTGTCAAAAAAAAAAACAAACAAACATGTACTGAACAGTCATGATAGGATTGACAAATTATTTTCATTTTAGCTGAAAATTCCTGACAAGATTGTCAGTGGTCTAAAAATCCAACCAAGAAACTAACTTTGAAAAAATGGTCTTCTTATATTCTGAGTCCTTCCTTTCCTTTAGAAATACATTCTAAAATGTCTAATCTGAAAATGGAAACAATGGTTAATCACAAAACTTTAGTAGCCTTCTACATGTTTAATTTTATTAAATACCTGGGGCCAGTTGTTTGAAGGGTGCATGAATAATGCTAGCAAATAAATCATCATCCAAAGAATAAGTGTTGGTAAAACAAACTACGCTAATCACTAGGTAGTGATTTATCCAGTGGATAGAACAACTAGGCTCTGGTTCATTTTAACTTTCCAGTAAGAGTTCAAATGAACAGTTTTAAAAGTAATATGTACAATGTCATGTGTTTAAGGCAAAGTGCATTTTTTTTGTTCTTAGACTGGAGTGCCATCATTCATGAACTCAATGAGAAGTGCCTGTTTAGGTTATGAAGAATATATATCATCAAAGACGACATAACTACAGTGTAAAAAGCTTTAAAGAACAGACAACATTTTTAAAAATTTAGTTAATGGTTTGAACACAGTGCTAAGAATCAGTGGTTTGCCTGGTGTGATCACCCAGGTAAATAATAAGGTCCTGAAAAGGATTGTTGCTGGTACATGTATTTGACACTACTAGCTACTGGAAAACCTGCCTCTGAAGCTCAGGAGATTGAAACGTCGTTCACTGGCAAACATCAACAACATTTCTTTTCAGGACTAACCTCTGTACTTGGGCAATCACACTCCACAAACTAATATTCCAAATTATAAATATTTACAACACAGTATGCAGGTACACAATTATTTTAATATTCTGATTGCTCTGTTTGACTTTCTGGGTGGAAGACGTGTTCTCTATAATAAAGTACAGTGGAGCCCTGTTAATCTGGTCACCAACAGACCACAAAAATATGGCTGTATTAACACGGTGGCTGTATTAATGGGGCTATTTGAATAAGAAAATCACTGACTGAGCTTTTGTTTCTGCCAGAATAAGGAGGCAGTATTAATGGGGTGGCTGCATAATTTAATGGGTGGCCTTAAGACAGAGTTCTACTGTATACGGACTTCACATAACTAGAAATCTTTAGGGTTGTTTCAACAGTATGAGGAAACTGCATTACAGCTTCCTCCCCAGACAAACACAGTCTCTTTGGGAGCATGTGACTCAAGGAGAATGCTGAAATTCACGATACAGTGTATTTACAAACATTGTCAACTAATGTTTACAATCTGCCGCAAGTGTTTTATTTCTGATATCATACATGTAATTCATATTTACATGAGCCTTATTTCAGCCTTATTTGTATAATTTTACAAGACAAAGTCATCAACTGATTTTCATTGTCCACATCAATAATTCCAAGCAAGAGCGGGCCAGCTGAGGTAAAAACACTGTTAAGAGATTGCCTGTTCCATGACAGGACTACAAATGTAATAACAGAATTACAGTTGGTGTAAATATCAATATTTATGTGGCTAGTAAATTATGAAGATGATAAGTACAAAACGTATGCCAAGAAAATAAATTTGGTGTTTCAGATTCTAGTCCTTTTGAAAATTGTTTTATTGAATCTTTGACAAGTACTGACATTTAGTTCTAGTGCATTCTAATTTTAACCGCACCTTTCTTTCATGTCATCGAACCTTTGGCCTCAAGGACCTTGAGACTCCTGGACAAGAATAAAGCCATGAAGGCATTAAGACATACCACTTATGACAAACTTAATGAAATAACCTTTAACCGTAACACAGAAGGGTGGACTCTCCAACATGTTAAGTAAGGAACAAATGTGTTGCTAGCTCCTTCCTGTTGAATTTGAGTTGTCTGACGGAGTGGTTATTTCATGATGCAGTTCATAAAGTTGTCGTAATTGTTCCTCATTTACACTGGTTAACTGTTCTTCTGATAATTGGCCTCCAAAACCCTTCCCTTCTTCCTGTTGTCTCTCTAACAAATCAGCATACATCTGAAGAAACAAGACCAGAATAGAATTAAAGTTAGAACCTTTTTTTCAAATAGTTCTCCCTCATTGACAAGCTAAAAGGTCTTACAAAATTACCACTGTAACACAAAGTGCTAACAAAAATCATTGGGGAGGGAGGGTGGGCAGGCAGTGGATATACATGTAATGCACTGGTAGTCAAATGTTGGATGTTTGACACTTCAGAATAAATATGAGTTTACTAACTGAATGGGAGGGCCGGATGTGACAATATCTCTCATGAGGAATGAGAACAGCAATGATTGTGTTAAAGAACTGAGGGTCAAATATTCTCTTGTTATGGCGAACCCAGACCTGACTTACCAGTAGCCATTTATTCCATAACACAACCTTTATTGAGCTACATTTCAATGGAAAATTGTAAAAATATCTTGCTTAATGTATCATGTCTTGAGGCAGCCAGCTTTCTCCAGACATCAACCACTCTTGCTCAACATCTGTTCACTTGTTTTCTACAGGATTATCCCTTGCCTTATAAATATATTGTCATCACTTGGGAATGGCAGCAGTGGTCAATAGGCGTTATGCTTACAAAACAAATATCAATAACAAAACTCAACCCTTACAGCCACACCCCGCCCCATCCCCACCCCCCAAAAATACCCCACAACATGTAGGTGTCAAGCAAGGCTGGACTTAACATCAGGGAAACGTATAATTCAAATGAAAACTGTTTGATGATCGGGCAATTTGCACCATTATCACTGAAATCCCTCCCCCCACCCTGATGTTACATCAAGTTAAAAGGGATGTATCAATGCTAGGAGTAGTCCCAGTGTGGGGCAACTGCAAACTGGTCTGAAGACATGATTGATCATTGCAGTTATACACAACTTCAGCAGTTGTGAAATTAAAGCCTGAAAACAAATCTAGGCCCAAACAGTGTTTGGGGCGTTATATAAACAATAGCCTCCATTAGGTGCGAAAATATGCTCGCATATTTGTCCACGGACATTATCTGTTCCAAGAAGCAAACAGTTTTTTGAGAATGTATCTCAAGGAAAACTGTGAGCTTCGAGGAACAGATAATGTCTTTTTCGCAACACTCGCAGTTTTGAAAATTGGGGAATATTCTCGGATATTCCCCAGTTTTGGCTGGGGAATATTCGGTCACATGATGCATTGAGACCAACCTTGCACGAGCGAAAATATTTGATGGATTGTAAGATTAAATATCCTTTGCCTTCGAACCCATGACCTCTCTGGTATTGTAGAGGTCATGGGTTCGAATCCTGTTCAGGCTTTTATTTCACAACTGCTTACGTTGTGTATAACTATGATGATCAATCATGTCTTCATATCTTCTTTGCAGTTCAAATATATGATCTTTCCTATATTCACTTGCATGCAAATTAGTCTGTTATGCGTGAGATGTGTGACATAACACGTATGTCTACCAAACAGATCAATGGTTGAACAAGTTGGTTTCTTATTTAGTTTGCACGTTTTGCTGTGACTAAAGTAACGGCAGACATCGTGCCTTTCTTGAAATTTGTCCATGATTCTTATCGTTTTAGCTAATACACGACAAATTTGTTTGATAGATAGGGATTGAGTTACTACAGTGAATATATATACCTACTTTCCATTCTTGAATGAACTCTGTGATCTGTTCTTGAGTAGCATTTTTATGTCTCCGAAATTCATCCCTTAAATACTGGTCTCCTAAAGCTTTGGGGATAAGAGGAAGGTTCTTATGTAGCTTGAGAATACGCCGGTAAAGTCTCAGGGATGGATTCATATTGCATAAGCAAGTGGAAAAGATAAACGAACAAACAAATACTGCCAGGCGCAATACTCTCGTCCAGTCTCTCGCCGTTGTTTACTTTCGTACAGTGCCAAGACATGAAACGAAGAGAAGACATACATCTGAATACATTTACAACACTAATAGTGTATTATGGCGTGCAGGTGAAGCTCGTTGTGGGAAGTCAGGTTTGATCTGTTTGGCGTTCCTTCTCGCCCAGAATGTTCGTCCAACGTCTTCCGATCACAAATAGAATAAGACGGTCGGCCGCAGGTTATTGTTTAAGGTAAAAATGGCGACTGTCAGTCAATCAAGTACATCTGCAAGTCCGAATGCGACGGGAGTGTGGAACCGATTGTCTCCAGAAGAGTTTCAACAGCTTCAGGAGTACACTAAGTGTAAGAGATTTTATTTTACCTTCTTCTTTGGTTAACCAAGTACTTGAGCGTGTAGTTAATGTTTGGTGTTGTTTAGTGATAAGCAAGCTCTGCTGTTATGGATGAATGATGCTGTTCGCCTTTCGATATACTAGCTCATCACCGAATTCAAACCTCTGATGCCACTTCTACTTTCGGAGGTTAACATACGAAACCATACTGTTCCCTGATTATTTCACAATAAAATATTAACGTGGCTGAAATGTTGTAAACTGAAATGACATGTATTCGGTTTAACTTTTAAGAAGTATATCACGTATCGTAATAAGCACAACTTACGCTAATATCTTTGCACCAGGCAAAGCTAACAAAAAAATTATTATTGTGCTTCTGTATTGCTGTTTTAATATCTCTAAAACGAGTTGATTACAGACCGTGCAACACACATATATACTGTATATTGTTTATGAGGAAAAACGAATCCGGATTTCAATACCTTAGTATTATACTAAGCCTATGGTTTTACGTGTCCATGTAGTAATAATATGGCGGCTAGTGTTATTAGTCTAATTTTTACATGTATAAACAATGATGCTCGTAATTTTAAAGACAAGGGAAGATTTGGATGGGTGGTTTTGTAAGTGCGTTTTTCAGTTCTTGCCAGCTTCTTGTGTTTATAATAAACCTTTTTGTGTCATGTATAAAGCCTTTAAGGGAAGACTATATAATTTGGATGTTTATTGATTCCATCGGTACATTTTTGTTGCTCTCGCGATGCATGTTCACTTCGTCGTAGCGTTTCTCGGTGTGGTAATTTAAATGACTTAAATTTCGTCGTTCAAAACCGGGAATTTCTTGGTTAGAAAGTACTTTCGTAAACCGTTTTTGCTGACCTAACCGACGTTTCTAAATTGTCACATTTTGGGTTTCGTATTAAGATCTTTCTGACGCTATTTAAATGAACAGTTTATGGCGACAAATATTATTACCGGTTGCTCTGAGAGGATTTGCTTTAATTTGAAGCTCAGATATTCACGAAGAAAAGAAAAAAAATTCAAGTTGATTTTTTAACCTTCTCTGCTCAGTTGTGGTTTATTGGTGTGGTTTAGAGTGCTATCAATGTGTTATATATATCTTCGTTTCGTTTGTCGCAAATAACAGGTCACATTCAGTTGTGATTTAAACTAAGACATGCCGTGAAAAATTCTCCTCTTTTTAACTTAAAAACGTGGTGAAATCCTCGTTTTGCTTTTGGTGTGATATTATCACATTTTCTATTTCATTCCAATTGTATTCTTGGAATTTTTCAGTTACACCCTCCAATGTTTAATATTACACTGAGAAATGTCTAAGTGTTGTCATAAAATATTTATAGTTTTTGGCATACAAACACGGAGTGACAAACAAAATACCATCTCTTTTTGCTCCATATGAAAGGTAAAGAATGTCACAAATTGTCAGAATTTTTTGTCAATTAATTTTTGGTAACCATCCCTAAATTTATATATCATTGTTGTTGATAGTTCTTGGAATTTCTCTTCATATTGCTGTTAAATTTTATATCAACTGTGACATTAAGCAAGCCTCGATATGCAAGTCAACACCCTTCGAGTTACCTGTAGTTGTTTATTAAACTGTTGTCTAGTTGGTTTGTAGCTACACTGTGCTTGCAAAACTCAATACATTAGTCAGTATGTGCTTATGGCAGATGAACTTTGTGTCAGTAAAGCCGACAAAAATGAACATTTTATGTATATTTGTGTTTTCTTCTTTATTTCACCAACTCTGAAAAGATGTAAGCTTACTTCATCTAGAATTCTCAGTTAGGTGCTTAATTGATGAATTTTAATATGTGGGTCATCATTTTAGGTTTTAGCTCCATAGCTCTGGTTGGCTGTGTTAATGATTCCCTACTGCTTTAAAGAATGTGGGAGCCAATAGGAAGCCTAAAAACTCTATCAGGCTTTCTGTTTCCCCTTAACAACAATTAGACTTTCTCTTTGCAATTACCACAAGACAGCATTTCCATAAGTTGATTGTTTCTTAAAATATAGAGAATTTCTCTGAAATCTTTGGCATTCAGTCCTTTATAAAGAGGGTTGTACATGTATATGTATTTGAACATAATAACATATTATTTTACTATTATTTTGTTTATTTTACTTGAAAACATTTTTGACATGTCAAATTCTGTCCAAATGTCAAATTTTAATTCATTCAGAGTGAAAAAAACATTCTGCAGCATTATTTATTGCTATTAGTTGTAAAAGGATAGCAATTAATGTGAATATTCATTGAAATTGAAGTCTCTGGCTGAGTATGGTTTCCTTGTCTTAAAAATGAGCATTTCAGAATACTATGCTGCTGATAATGATGAAAGAGAAATGGCTAAAGTCAAGGCTGTTTTGCGGCTGATAAAATCATGTGAGCCCTCACGGCTTATATTTACATGTGTACATATGACCTTCTTGTCAGAGCTGAGAGTAATTTTCAAGTGTAATGAATACAATCTAAAATTACATCTCCATGTGGTATTCTTTTTAAAGTTTATTTTATTTTGTGTGCCCTGAAGTACAGTTCTTCTTTTTGTAAATTAAACAATCTTTCATCCTCAGATGCCAAGACTAGCCGATTGACTGATGTTCTTCAACAGTTCCGTGATGGAGTTTATCCACAGTACAATCCAGAGAAAGTAAGTGCATATTGATGTTCACAGAGTCTGAATAATTAACATTTTAAATCCCCATAAAATTAATAGTTATTTCAATTTTATTTGTACAAGGACCATACTGCATATGTTCATATCTACCCCTGCATGTTTTCATGTGATTATGAGTTTCTCTTATATCACTTCTTGTGTGGTGTTAGCTTTATTTCATGTGTTAGAAAATCCTGTAAAACGTGCACATGTGTGTGGTAACTGTCAATTATTTTTAGTTAGTGAGGAATTTTTTTACTGTGTAATACAACTGCACAAAATGTGTTGCAAAATTAAGGAAAGCAGACATACTTTCTTTATATAGAGTAAAATTAATATAATTTAGAATGGTAGCAAAACCAAAACCAAAGTAATCACTCTGGCCTGTCACAAAAAACACAGACAATCAATTCATTACTGAACCAATCAAAACTCTAAGTAAATACATGTAGCTGATATGAAGCAAGAGAAAATGTGTGTGATCAATTCAGAATGACTTTTGGTGTTATTTCTGATTTGATTACAAAGTGGTGTGAGTCTTTTACAGTGTGCCAGCCAATCACATAGCATTGTAATGCAGAACGGTAGCAAATGCAAATGATTTTTGACGCTAAAGTGAAAATGGCTTTAACACAGTGGAACAAAGTGAGGTTGTATTCTCAATAATTACCAGGGTAGCAATGGTGAGTTTCACTGACACGTAGCACATGGAAATTGTAAATGAACAGCACTTTTAGATGTTCACCAGGATAATGTGAGTCACTGCTTCATTTGAAATGTAATTACTAGATCACAAACTTTGACCAGCATGTTGTGGTTTCACTAATAATAACTACTTATAAAAAGAGTACAGTCATTTTTAGCAGCCTTGCAGATTGCATGAGTTTTGTATACAAACATTTTGACCTTCTCATTGTCAGAATTTTTGTAAATCAGAATAAGAGGGGTGACTCATAATACACTCGCGTTAGGCAGTACCATGTACACTGTAGTGGTGAAAATTGTCTTCTAAACTTGAAGCATAGTATCTCTGAATTAATCTCTTAATTATACATATCCATGATTTTGCCAATACTATTTGCATTATACTGATCTGTATTTTATAGTTTGGAGAAACATATATATCTGAGCAAATTCGCACAAACATGCCTGCTAGGTTTTCGCAGGCTAAGCCAGCGACTTTAAACCCAGGGGGGGCTCNCTGCCTTGATAAACATTGGAAAACTTTCCGCCATTCAGCTGCGAATGAGGCTATCTTATTTTAACTTGGTATAATCTGTGTCGTTTACACTGCTCCTGTTGTGTGAATTATAAATGATATACACAAATATTTCTGTGTTTTGTGAAGCGACTTTTGTTCTTAATTTTCATCAAATATTTTCATTGTGATCAGAAACTATTTCATTTGATCATCAATCATTCCAATAAAAGCATATTTGAATCAACATTAGGTAGTTCTTTCACTGAACGGTACTTCAATTTACTTGGTGGTTCAAGGAAAATGTTATTAACAATACAGTTAGATAATAATAAGATTATTATTTATTATTAATTAATTATTAATTTATGCATATATTTTGGCGACTAAAATTTTTCACTGGCGACCAAACCTGAACAGTCAGTGGCCAAATGGCCACTAAGGAAAAAAGTTAACTTGGAGGGTTGTATATATGTTTTGAGTTAGTCCCCGGAGTTTCTTTACATTCCCAATATGAATCAAGTTACATGTACTTGTATTTAAAATCCAGCGCCATCTGACAGTTTTGAATATAACATAGAGAAGATGAGTCCAAGGATTGACAATATTGTTGAAAACCAAGTTTTGGTTTATTACAATGCAAAAAGATTGCTACAATATTTCAGCACTATTTCGGAGCATTAGATTGTATTTGGCTCTTTACTTCAGAGCTAAATACACCAAGAAATGCAGCAATTGCCATTTGGCCTCAATATTACATTTTTGATTCTTTTTCCCACACTCAGTCAGAAGCCCTGTAAATATAGATATTCACTTAAATAAAATAATGTAATAGTCTATAAGCAATAGAGTGCCTTTAGAAGAAACACAAATTATTGTTAAATAAATATAAACCACAATATTGAAAGGCTGTTTTCTATTTGACAAAAGCATTTCACACAATTCATCCCAAAACTGTGAACTCCTAAGGGCAATAACAGCGTGATGTTTTGTCTGGCTTGTGATTGGGGTCTTGAGACCAGGGCAGACCTAGACAGCAACTGGAACAAGAACTCTAACAACAACCTTGATTATTAGGATTTTAAATCTGGTCACTGTATCAGTTAGCAAACTATTCCTCAGTTGAAAATGCAAGGTGAAAATTCAAATGAAAAACAATTCAGAAAAACAATAGAGAATGCTATAAAAATAATATGCAATACGCATGCACACCACCATACAAAATCATCAAAATTTTTCATTCAAGTAGTTGTTGATCAAGCCTTTTGTTGTTTGGCAGTGTTCCTGTTACCATTAGAATAATGTTGAATAAAATTCAAAAACCAGAAAGTTTTTTTTTTCTCAGTCCTATACATGTACATGATTTGATGAGTACCTATTATCTGAAATATTGTTTGATGTGTTATCTTATAGACAGTAATAATGTCAATCAATGTCAGTCCATAATGAAAAACTGAGCAGAAGACTGAGAATTAGTTCTCAAGTGACATGAAAAAATAAGAGTAAATAGAAGCACCAGAACTCAGAACGCTTGCGAGGAGATACAGTAACAAACAGTCTCAGCTTTCACTGGCTGAAATGTCAATAACACAAATATCTTTTCATTCAATACTGTACATGGAAGTTTGTAAGGAAAAACAGGACCAGAAATTTTACACCCAATCTGTTTTAGCTTCAGTTTAGAAGGAAGTTTTAATTGCTTTTGGTGCTTTCTTGGGTCTGGAAAATGCAGTTGTGATTACAGCTGAGCTAGATTGATTGATTTGGGTTTTTAGAAAAGCAGAAAAAAAAATTTCGTTTGAGTTAGTGGTAGCTTTAAGTTTTATTACGCTCAATGGATGCATAACATGACAAAGGAATTTGATTGCCATCAAGCTTTCAAGCATTAGTTTACATTTTGCAAAATAGAGAGAAACACAGACTTCATAGCCTAAGAAGTTCTTGATAAATTACAGAAGCAGCATTTTCTAGCTAATTTTTATTTCATTCACAAAACCCAATGTAACAAAGTGCTCTTAATCACAATCTTCAGTCCTAATGTACATGTTTCTCTACAGCCAATGGATTATGAGGGCTTCAAGTTATTTATGTCGGCTTATCTTGGCAACAATGTGAGTGAGGATTTGTGCGAGCATCTCTTCTGGGCATTCCACAAGCAAGTTGCTGTGCAGTCGCCATCACTGTCACAAACTATCATAGACAGTGTGGCTGTTTCTGTAGTTGCGTCTAATTCCCAACAGGATGTCAACAAACATGATCAAAGGAGACGTGAGTTTATCTGATGTGTATTAAATTTTTGGACTTTGTTGCTCATAGCAATATATATTATTATCATTTTAATCATAAGTTAGGTATGGAAATCCTGCTTGTTACCTTTTTTTATTACATGCATGCTACTTACTCTATATATACACAAATAGGGGAACTAGGCTAATTACTTTTTACTGGAGTTTCTTTTTTCAAAAGAGGTAATCAGGTCATTCCAATCTATCTCATGAATTACATGTAAGAACAGTGCACTTGGGTCCTCAAAGAACTTTTTCTCAAGGTACTGTATACTGCGTACAAGCATGTATTAATTGCATGGTTCTTTGGAGTCTTGAAAAGAATATTTTGAGCCTGCAAGGATTGCACTGATGAGAACTTGTCATTTCTGGCGCTTAATGTACAGTTACTAAGTGTAGCAGCAAAGTAACATGTAACCTGTACAAACAAATCAACATGTAGCACTGCCAAATAATAGTCAATTGTTTGAACAGCATATTAACAAATAAATGGTTAGGAGTCAGTAAAATTCTTTTTAGTCAATAACATTAAGTCTACAAGATTAACATTTAAAAAACAAAATGCCAAAAATGTGTAACACATTTCCACAGCGCACACTTATTCGTAACTAAATGTACACAGGTGTAATGTTGTAATTTACATTTGTTTTTGGTTGGATCTTTTTCCTCTTAGGTTAGTTTTTATTTTCCTTTGCTTCATATTAGAATCATTTGATAATAAATATGAAAGTAATGAAAATAAGAACCAGTCAGTTTGAAGCTTCTTATCAATAAGCAAAAGCAAATTTCAACCATTGTAGCATTTGCATAAACTTAGTTTTTTCCATGTGACAGTCAGCTTTGAAAGGCAATAAGTTACTTTTAGTTGATGATCTGAAGTTGATGTGAAGTCACTTGAGATGTACTGTATATCACCAAATTTTGATTGCTTACAGCCTAGTTAGCTCTCAATAATTGTAAGGGTAACCCCTGCAGACACCTGTATCCCGCATTGACTCTTACTCATAGTGTCATTTTGTCATTTTGCCATTTCTTGATTTAAACACACCCACAAGACATCATGTGGGAAAGGATCAAGGAGCATGACTGGGATATTTGACTCGCCAGTGCCCAGACCTCCACTGTTTCAGAGCATACCGTACAGACCACAGGCACTATTCACTTTACATGTAGAACACAGTGAAGTGTATCAAAAATTGATCGATACTCTCATTGGTACACACACATAGGGTCAAGGAAGCTATACAAATAAATACAATCTACATCACCCTAATAACATCAGCAGGGATAGTGGAATTGAAATTCCTAAAGCATGTATGACCGCAGTCCTAGAACAAAACAATGGGAAAATGGTACAACTGCCAGTGGACCACCTAGAGAATGACATCATTGTGGAATAACGGAACAGTGAAGGGTCAAAATGCATCAATTACAGTCTACCTTCATGACCCCTGGCCGGGGATATTGTGTTGTGTTCTTGGGCAAGACACTTTACTCTCACACAGGGTTCGTACGGGTCTTGGAAAACCTGGAAAGTCCTGGAATTTTATTGTGGCATTTTCCAGGACTGGAAAGTCCTGGAAAAGGGCTACTGGTCCTGGAAAGTTCTGGAAATCTCTTAAACTCAAGTAAAAAAATATGAAATGTATGGCAGACAGTAAGGTGAATTAACATTAAGATCTTGGGAGTGAAAGGGTTAATGTGAATTTTAGGGTCCTGGAAAAATCAATCTGAGTCCTGGAAAACTGGAAATTTGTTTCTGAAAAAGGGTACGAACCCTGTCACAGTGCCTCTCTCCACCCAGGTGTATAAATGGGTACCGGCAAACTTAATGGTGGGGGTAACCCTGCGATGGACTAGCATCCCATCCAGGGGGGAGTAGAAATACGCCTAGTCGTTTCATCCACAGAAACCGGGATAAGCTCTGGCCTAGTGGGCCACTTGGCTCGTATGCAGACTTTACCTTGCTTTATCTTCTTTTCATGATAAAAAATTAATGATTATCAGTCAACCTCATTGTATGATGAGGGCCAGCATTGAGCAGTGGAAATGTGGCAATCTTCATCACAAGTTACCACATCGTATGAAAAACAATAATACTTTATTATCATTGATTGTACTGTACCTTACAACAGAGAATAACAATAACCTTTTTTATCACAATAAATTGTGTCTGAATAATTCAACTGGCCCTCAAACTCTTGTTTGTTTAGAACTGTGAGAAAATGAAAACAACGGAAACATTTTTACATCTAGTAATAAACATTCATTAACATGTATATTAATAAACACGTGATAAAGACGGATTTTTTTTGTTTTAAATTAAATCAGATACCTGACTGTTATATTAATGTATAAGTAAATTAATATCAGTTATCACTGTTAACTAACTGTTAATAATTCATTTTAAAACATTAACTACACATTCAGTTTCAGAAATTCCAGGTATCCACAGTGGAGCTGGAACTGCAGCGCTGGTTGCCACGGCAGCTGCTATAGGGGTTGGCGATAAACCTGAAATAACGCTATCTAAAGCCAATGATGATGAAGCTGAACCAAGTGTTAAAGCTAATGGTTCTCCCACAGTTAAAACTAATAATAACGATTCTAAAGCCAGCGTACAACCTTCACTCACTTTGTCACCAGCGCCAATCCAAGATTCCTTAGGGCTTGGTACGTGGGGGCGAAAGTCACCTGATTTAAAACATCACTTCCGAAGACACTCTAGTGGCTCATTCATGGGTTAGTAACTACATTTAACAACTGCAGTAATAAATTGACTCCAGTATAAAACATTCAAAACATCAATCTACTTAAACTTAATAATTTTTTTAACAGTATATTTAAACAGTATTTTGTTGAACATTTTGAATCAAAAATAACTCAGTTACATATTAACAAATCATTACAATCAATCAACCATTATTACCACGTACTGATTTTTCTGTTTCTACAGTAGTAAATAATTCACAATTACCAGTTATCCCTGCATGTCTTGACAACCTTAAAATGTTTCTAAGTTATTAAACCGGGATTTACTTAAGTTTTGATTATACTGACAAATATAACACTGACTTGGAATGCCTAAATCCACAGTTAATAATACACTGTGAGCTTCTCATTATCAATGTTGGCTTCAAAGTGATAAATCTTAATTCCCTTTTAAACTGTTATGTTACAGGGTCAAAGTAGGTAAAAAATGATGAACTTCTCTTATGTGCTAAACTCATTGTTAATATTCTTTACATCTGTATTCTTGTTTGTTACTTCTGTGTATATCACAGCAGTTTCCAAGGCTTTCTGACAAATACATAATTAACGTTTTCTGGGGAAATGTGGATGTTGATTAAGCAGCCTATAAAAATTTTGTTGAAACCTAAAATCTTGGGAAATTAACTTAATGGAGAGACTGGGTTTTGAACATTGTCCTGTTAATGTGGTAAACTTGAGTGAATGTAACACTTTAAAGGGGCTCAGTCACGGTCTTTTCAGTTATTTTGGCCACATACAAAATTACCTTTAAATGATAGGAAAAACTGAAAATAATAGTTTAAGAAGAGAGAAAAACACCACAGAGATAATGATAAACCATAAAGGAACAAGGATGGCTAAGGATAGAGAAGATTGACACGGATTGCAAATGACAAATTTGAAACATTGAGGCTAAACTTTTCAATATGCGCAAACCGTGACTGAGCTCCTTTAATAATGGACCGTCACTGTAATCCAAGCACATATAGTGGATAGGACAGAACTAAAGCTACATGTAGTTATAGTGCTTATAATTCAATTGTCTGATTATTTTTCTTGAGCTGCAATTTCCTAATAACAGGTTGCTATTTTGCTAAAAAGTGGTTGCTATTTCTACACTGCTTTGGAAACATATTTCTTGAGTTGATATAACAAACCTCTTTGATTAGTGAGTTTTTCTTCAATAGTTAGCTGCCATCACATTTGGAGTATTCAGTTTGAACTTTCAAGAATTTCTGCTCAGTAGAGAACAAAATGTATGGGACCTTTAGCAAGACTTAAGATTCCTTTTGTAGGAGTTTATTAGGGAATTAGGGTTAACCCTAACCCTTAGGAATTCATTTTTTTTTTTTTTTTTTTTTTTTTGCAACTTCGAGGAGCAATCTATCCAGAAGTGTGGCTTACATGTATCTGGAATACATTTACCCGCACATTACTTAGCATGCAAATGTTGTGTCAAGTACATACATGTACAATCTGTTGGCTAGTGCTGAATGAGCGACACTTCCCAGCTCTCTGTTTGCATTCATGTACATGTATCATCCATGTTAAAATGAAAAGATACAACTGTTCACTTGGGATAGTGAACATTGTACTTGTATCTTTAGTTAAACATTATCTTCATTGCCTTGTCTAATAGCTATTTGATAGTGGTTACATACACATTAGCAACCTTTATTAGTAATAACCTGGCCACCAACCAGAAATGTACATCTGTTGTACAAATAAATACATGTAGTTAAGGTTGGTTCTATTGAAAAGTTGTTGTGAAGTGAAAGACTTTATTTAATGAGGGTGACCCGTGACAGTAACTTAAGTTACTGATAAACTTGGGGCCCTCAGCTTAAAATAATTAGAATACTAAAAATATATTATTTACAATAAAATGCTAAAATACGATATTGTTTACAATAAAATACTTAATTAAGTTACTATTAAAAATGGTTACAAATAATAAACTGGACTTACAATTTCAAACATACTACGAATAATAAGAGTTAAAATATTCCATTAGTTTTCTGAGTTCTTATTAAGAAATGGCTGAGTCGGGTTTTATTCAAGCTAAGAAGAGAGCTTCTATGAAGTCCAGTTCTCCAATGTAAACTTGAATGTCCTGTACATTATAGTTATGGACAGAGAGTGATTCAAAAGATTGTTGGCAGTGTTACACAAAGGCACCGCCAACAGTATTGTGAAAGGGATAGGTTAAAGTTATTTACCATGCACATTCTAGATTCATCCTGGTTTACTGTGTTTTCTAAGGAAAACTCTCTCTTACGCCAGGCAAGGAACTACACAGGGGCTGATACTTAGACAGGGTGCAATACAAACACTCAAGTGAGTTCTTCTGAACTCTATTTCATGTGTCTGCAATGTTACATGAATTCATGAAAACTACATTGTATGAAGCAAAAATGCACTATGAATATGTTAATTAAATGTGCAGCCTTATGCAAAGCTATTAGACAATGCAATTATGTAACCAAAACTTCATGATAAGGTGTTGTTGTTTCCCACGGCAGCTTTCAAAGTGGCCAATGAACACCCTCCAGCCCATCCACGCTCAAGTTCACAGAGAAAGAAAATGTCAAGTGAACAAGTGAACCTGCTGAATGTCAACCAACAGGCCAAAACAGTACCTATGGTGTCTATCAGNTTCTGAATACTGGTTGCAAGGGTTGTATTGTGCATTGTGAAAATAGAAGGAAAAGGTAGATTATTTTTGATGAGGTTTTAATACAAATTTGCCCAAAATTGAATTCAATACAAACAAACAAAATTTATGATGTAAGAGAACATAATAGGAAACGTCAGAGTTTATCGCTACCAAAGATAGGATTACACATGTACGGTACACATGTAATAACTGCTGTTGTATTCAAAGCTTGTTTGATGTCCTGGTAAAGTACCTGCATGCACAGTCAGTTAAAAAGATGTATTTACAATAGGAGGAAAATCATGTCCTGTCATGTACTTATAGTACTTTCTTATCTGTCAACAGCAAATAAGAGATGATGGACAACATCAGGTAAGAGTATACGGAGCTGTAAATTGCTCTTTTCATTTCATAAATTTACAGTGTCTATCTGTCTACATGCTCAGTTCTCTCCTGGTGACACAAATGTCTAGGATTTGAACTGGACAATTCCCAGCTGGCCATGTTGCTTTACACAGACTGGTATAGACTGGTGTCTTGGATTGATTATGCAAAGAGAGACATCAATTAATTCAATTTGCTAATAAACATACATGTAGAGCATTTTTGTATTGTTACTATGCTGTTTCAATTACCATAAAACCTGCATCACAATATGAAGTTTTTTTATGTAATCCTTTGTTGCAGTGCTGATTTTGTGAATATAACGTTGTTGATTTCTAGTGGCGCCAGAAATACTTCAGTAGACCTGCATACTGTAACATGTGTCATAATGTCTTGAATGGCTTTGCTCGCAAGCAAGGTCTTCAGTGCTTATGTAAGTAATTTCAATGTGAAATGTTAACATTACAGTGGAACCTCATTAATCCCGTCACCAACGGGCCACAGTCAATCAATTAATTGAATAAATAAATGAATAAATAAATAAATGAATGAATAAATGACTGAGCTTTTGTTTGGGTCAGATTAAAGTGGCCATAATAACAAGGTGGTTGTTTTAATGGGGTGACCATAATAAAATTAAGGTGGGGTTTCTCTGTATATGTTTGAGTTTTTCTTTGAGAAGGCTTATTTATTTATCTCTTACCTAGATATCTTGCTTCATCAATAATGTAAATTCTTAAATCACTTTTAAACATGAACAACTGAACTTACCCCAAAAAGTCTTAGCTTTGTCTGATAACTGAACATCTTTTATCCAGCTCCTATCTGTATTCAGCAATATAGTCTTAAAATTGCATATTTTGAGTGACTTGCATTGTGTACACTCACAGAGAATCTACTAGAAAATAGTATAAATTATATTTAACAAATGGTAAACGCCATAGCGTGTACTATTGAGTTATGGATGCACGCGGGAGGTTGCTAAGCA